AGTAAGTAAAGTTGAAGATGCGAAAAATTTGATACGGCTGATGATAACAGTTTCAGAAGTTTATTGGCAAGAATTATAATGCACAAAGTATTATCTGTTGATATAAGTTTCTACATTCTAGACAACAAATCATTAGCTGCATCTGAATCGCTACCAGCTTCTTGCAAAGGATCTTGAGAAGTGCTACAATTTCAATAAAACATTTATTTAAATATGAATAATAATATAACAGTGATCCTGGCCAATTATCGACTATGACTAAGCTGATAATTTATCGGATTAACTGGTTTACAGCTATTTTCATATTCTGAGGGCAATTGAAAAATTTTGACTCGGTAACTTATCAATTTGACCATCAGAAATTTTTTCATAATGGCCCAGAATATATGAAAACAGCTCAAATTGATTTTTAATATGTAATATTTCGAAAATTACCGAAAAATTCAGGTTCAATCGTTTCCACATCTGGAAATTATGAACGTAATAACTGTCTTACTATTTGCTCATACCTACCTTCATTATAATTTTCCGTGTAATCGTATCATGATCAGGAACCTTCTGTAAAAAGATTCCTGGTCACAAATGATCACGTGGGAGAATCACAATAAAGGTAGGCGTGAACAGCGTAAGACAGGGTGTTATTCATTTATTTTCTGTGAGAAGTTTAAAACAGAGGATTCCTGATGGTAATATGATACAGATAACCTAAGAGTTATATATCCTACGATCATCGAGGATCTGTTATAATTTTAAACTCTAGAAAATACGTAATACAAATAACTCTTGTTTTGGTCTTAATAAAAAAAACTTTTCATTGTCGGCAAGGATCACTAATGGCAAATCAGAAAGATTCATTAAATTTACGTGTTTAGATTCTTTCTTGGATCCAAAAACTGATCAATTGAAGTGGTATCTTTAGATACATTGGCAGGCTTTTTACCCATTCTAATTTATTTTAAATAAGCAAAATCTTTAGCAACAAAAAAAAAAAAAAAAAACCAATATACATTCAATATATCACAATGACTACCTTCTGGATTTAATAACTGTACCGCGAAAAGTCTTAGTCAAAAGAGATTCGTCTGGCTGTTTATTATTAACTGATTCATCATTTTCCATTTGTTCTACGTTATTATCTAGCCTTGGTTTTTTGAAACGGTCAACTTCAGCTTCTTCGTCAATTAGGTTGGAATTGGGATCTGGTTCGTCTGTAAATTCTCCATCTGAAAGCACCACTGAATCTACTTGTTGACTAGGAATGATTTTTCCTAAAAGAGTAAATTTAGTTTAATAAATTATGCAGATACCATCGCATTAAATTAACATTCATTAATACCATTAGTGTTAAGTGCTTTCGTCAACTTTTTTATTTTCTTTTTTTTTGCATTTAGAATTTGTTTGAACTTATCAAATCAGAAGGAAAATAAATTTGCGTCGCGTTTAGTATATAATAATCAAAGGAAATTTGTCTAAACACAGATTATTTTACTCACCTTTTCCATTAAGATTGCTTCGTGATTAACTTTTTCTGCAACCATAATTTCAATCCTTTCTTGCATTCTACCACGAATAGTTTCTAGATCAGATAAACGCGTCTCAATTGCCACACTTTTAGTCTTTTCGTTACGAAATTACGAAAAAAAAATTTTTTGTTATCTAAACAAAAAATATATATATATATTTATATTTATACAATAGCAATATACCATAAGCTGTTTCCGTTCATCAATAAAAAAATCTATCCACTCTTGCCACACTTTAGCATTTTCAAACTGAGAGACTAGAGTCAGCGTAGCATTTCCGATGTTGAACTGTACGGTCTATTCTTTAATTAGTTTGAGGCAAATTACAATAATATCTAAATACGAACAATCATTAAGAGATGCCAGAAAATGATCAATACAAAACCGGAGCGTTGGAAGAATAATTCGGAATCGACCACCTCCATACGAACTATTAAACATGAAATAACATCAATAAAAAATTATACATTAATGTATTAAACCGATACAATTTATATTTAATGATTACCCTGGCATGCTTTTCTGAAACCGAAATCCGACACGACAATTTGTAGGATTCATACTCTTCTTGTCCTGATAATGCCGCCTGTGTTGCTCCGCAGAATTTCGAAACATCAGGAATGCCACTCGGTTTAATCTGTTTTAAATCAGAAATCGTCACTTTGATGACCATAAATACAAAATTAATGATAATGTAGTTAGTAAAATTATGAAACGCGTTATGCCAAACGACAAAGTAGAAAAAAGAAAAATTACACGTTGTTGTCCAAAAAGATTTACAATCAGTAACTGTTAAATCACACACAACTTTTTCATCAGGAGCCGTCAAATCTAATAAGGGATTGATTTGCCATAATGTTCTAGCGTAAACAAATTTATCGTCATTAGAAGCTACACGGAAACACGAAACGTTTTTATTAGTTTGGGTAGCCATAATAAAGTTACTGAGGTTTATCTTTACGTATTAATGGAATTTTGCTATCCGTAAACAAAAAAGGGCGATTTCTTTCGCGTGAATACAGAATTATATATGTAAATCAATAATTTTATTGGCTATTGCGAAATTATAATCTGTGCTCGGTCTATTGGCACGTGATAATTATGGGGCTAGCAATGCCAGGCAAAAAAAATTTCGCTCTTATTTGAAACCAATAAAAAAATTTTCGCTAAGAAAAGAAGTTTCGCGGTTAGGTTAGGGGT